CTCAGATTGAGCGGCTGAAGAACAAAGACAAACTCATTTCGCAGCTGGAAAAAGACCTGGGCCACCAGTGGGCGGCCGCCCAATTCGCGGCCCTGGAGAGGACACACGGCGAGGGGACTGAGGCTCTGGCCTCAGGATCCCCCTCGCTCCCTCCAGGCGCTCTCCCCGAGGGCAGGCCGAACCCCGATTCGTTCTCGTGGACCCCAACCTCCACCCCTGTAAGTTGTTGTTGTGAGCGATGTTCTTTTTTTTTCGTTGGTTTTGTTGGGTTTTTTTGTGGTAAGTGTTTTACGGCCCTCGCAACTGCATAAGGTCACAATCATGAGCGCGCGGGACACACCAATTATTTTCAGTTGGTAGGAATTTTAAAAATTTTCCAAGGTGGCGGCCGAAGCCTACTCTTATCGATTTTAGACCACCAAGGGATCTTTAACGTGCGCAACTTACACTCGAGACCTCCGAGATTTTTCGCCCTTGTCCGAAGAGGCAAGGTGTAGATCTTTCCTACCAGAAGATCAGGGATGTGGCTGAACGACAGCAGTAAGAAGGAGCCAAGGAATAGCAGTAAAAAGGTTGCAGAAAGAGTCAGGAGCCCAGGAGAGGGGGCAAAGGAGGTGGGGGCAGAAAGCGGAGACGAAAGCAGATGATAGAACATTGCTAGAGAGCAGGAACGGAGGTGAAAGGAGACAATTTTAGAATAGAACATTTTTCCGTCGCTACCCGGATTCGAACCCGGGACATTTGAATGAGAGGCGAACTCCTTAACCCATAGGCCACGAGAGCCCCCGAGCAATGTATTTAGAAGTACGGTCTCTGGTTGTGAGGGGGAGTTTGGAGAGCGCTTTTACAGATTTGAAAACGGGGAGCATGATTATGTGTTCATTGATTTGTTGGAGAGGGACTACGGTGATATGTTAGTAATTACTAATATCTGAGTTTGCTAATACTAAGTGGAGGAATGTGGGATAGTGTGTGCGTGTGTGTATGTGTGTGTATATATATTTGTGTGTGTGTGTGTGTGTGTGTGT